TATAATTAAGCAAATATTAATTATATTATATATAATATTTTATATAATATAATCTATTTTTTGACTATAATATTAGTTATATTATTTGTGCTTCGATATTTTGCTCCATCCAACTTTTTAAACAAAGTAAAGCACGTGCGGTTTCAGGATGAAGGCGATTGCGGATTTTTGTAAGTGTTTTTGCTGCTGTAGAAAATGCTTCTTCACAAGGAACACTTGTTCCTTGAATAGCTAAGTAATTACATATTATCTTTGCTAAAGTTAGAAATCAATGCTTATTTGTTAACCACTAGTTAAGCGTATCTTCATTAGAATATGGTGGTAAAAATAAATATAATTCTAATTCCTCTGGTAGTAATTCATTTGTCTGTTATTGTTCTAATAATAATTTAAAAAATGATTTTTTTTTGTTTTTTGAAGAAAATAAAGTAGTATTTGTTTTGGAAATTTGTGGAGTATATTGATTTATTACATAGCGTAAATCTGCAATAGATCTATTTCTTTTTTCATCAGATAAAAATGTTGTAAGTTTTGATAATGGATCAAGAATTGTAGCTATTGTAATTGATTTATCAAGCAGCATTCAATATTCATTTAGCTTATATCGTATAGAATCTGCAATTATACATTCTTGTTCTGAATATAATTCATCATTAATAAATCTATCAAGATGTCGAAGAATTCCTTCAAAAGATAAACGAATATCGGACATTGTTGGATATGAACTAGATGAGAGTAATATAGTAGCTTCAAGTATAGAATAATGGAGTTCAATTATAATATTAATCTGCTTCCACTCATCTTGATTAAGAAAAATATATTCGAAGTGATGTTTTGTTACAAGAAGATCTAGCTCAGTATGCATTTGTTTGAATCGATAAAGCATATCATAAGTACTGTTCCAGTGTGTAATTATATCTATTTTAGGTGTAATATAATTTTTCTTATTTATTGCACAAAACTGTCGAAGATCATTACATAAAATAGTTGATTGATGAATCTTTGTTACAAAATTTCTAACTTTTTCTATTAATGTAGTCTGAAGTTGCATTCCATGATTAACTGCAATATTAAGAATATGTGCTGCACATCTATAATGCTCAAATTCGAATTCATTCCATTCTTTTTTCATTAATTCTCCATATAAAACCATTGCTAAGTGATTGTCTGTTGTTAATGCAATAACTTTATTGCTAATATTCATTTCATTACAAAGTTGAATAATTTTTTCTTTTATACATATTCCAGTATGATTTGATTCAAAATGAATTAAATCAAGCAAAAAATGTTTCATTTCCCATTAATAAAATATGCTGTGATTCCAATATATGCCTGATTCGAGTAAGAGGTCCAAATATCAGCAATAAGTGCAATTTTTGCATTAAAGTTATTCAGTTCTCCCACAATAATCATTCTTTGAACATCAAATTGAGACATCATATTTTTTTTTATATAGATCCGTGTTGGTGGAATATACTGTAAATCAAGTATACTTGTTATTTTGTGAAATTAATGACTTTCGACAGTTTTGAATGGAACTTAATCGCCAATAATAAAATTTATTACTGAGTTGTTGCATTCTTCTATACATTGAGAATTATCTTTATCATATGGTTTTTTAATTAAAAATTTACGTTTTTGATTTAAGGTAATATCACAATTATGAACTTTGTTAAGGTGATTTGCCAAAATGCCTGTTGATGTTTTAAAACTATATTGTCATCCACATTTGCTATTATTGCATACTATAATAGTAACTCCACCTGCACTTGTTTCTTCATGCATAAATTCCCACACAAGTGATGTTTTATTGCTGGTACTATTATTAGTTGTAGCAGTATTACTAGCAAATTCAAAGATTTCTTTGTTATCGGTATCAGATGGATTAAATTCTTCATCGGAAATAGTTGAATAGCTAATATTAGACATTGGTACAGTATTTTTTTTTTTACTTGTTCATATATTTTTATAAATTGTGAAGGGCAGAACGGCGAGTCTGTCGCTAAATGATGATGGAATTCGCGTAACTGCCGGTCCACTCTTAATAATGATAATCGAAGAGGCGAGGCGTTAGATTTGGCCCAGGTGGGTATTTTAATTATTGTTTTATATGGTGATTCTCCCTTTTTCCTTTATTAAATGCTATCGTTTTTATACACTTTTCAATAGAAATTATTAGAAAGTTGTAGAAACATGACGAAAGGTAAGGAAATTCTATTTGTTTCTAACACTAATTACATAATAAAACGCTCATTACATCATTTTTATCTCACTTTTAGTGCCGGTTTCAGTTCTACATTTCTTCTCGCAATTCCCGGGTCGATCGTTGGTCACGTGACCCGAATTGCATTACCCATTCTTTTATTCTCCCTCTTACAATATTTATATATTTAATTATTTTACTTTTCTAACTCGATCATTTATTTAGCTTGACCTTTTATTTAACTTAATAACTTATTTAACTCAATCATTTATTTAATTTAACTATTTAGCTCAATCATTTATAAATTTAACTTGTGATCAATGATAACAATAGGTTTGATCTTATTTTTTCTCTTATTAAATATTTATTAAACTTAGTTTTATTTTATAATCGTTCTTGTTATTATCTTTCTTCTTTTATTGAATATTACTAAATTCAATATCTATTATATATATTTACTTGTTATATGTTAATCACCTTAATATTCCACGGTTTCTCACAATTACACTGATTTGTGATGAATGGCACATCATGTTACTATACCTTCGATTTCCCTACAAAGCCATGCGTAAGACAGAAAATCAATCTTCTTTTTCGTATCGCCAGTATCGCTTCCCGGTAACGATGTATTAGATAGTATAATCTCCTTGTAGTCATGTGATATCGCAGCAGTAATAATCCTTCATCCGATTCCTTTGTTACAAATAACACATTTAACATTATGTTTCGCTCTTTTCTTTTATTCGTGAATATAGATCTAGGTTTAGTTGAACAGGCAAGTGTGTGTTGTAGTTATCAATTCTCCATGTATTCGTTTAGTATTACACTTTTTTAACCTAATCTTTAGTTACATCAGAGGCTTAAGTAAACATGCTAAATCATAGAATGAGATAAACTCACTTTGTAGTTTTCACTTCTTCACTAGAAATGTTTATTAACAAAGACTATAACTGCAGTACTATCTTTATGAAGACATTAAGATACATTTTAATAAGTTCATTACAAATCCATGACAGCGTATAAAAGTCTCTGATGTGATGTGATTATGTAACGTAGCTTGAATGTCTTGTCACTTAATTATCTTAGTTGAGTTGTTAATTAGCTCCCACATGCGTTGATCCATCTTGCACTCATTTGTTTGACCAGAGTTTTACTGGTTTATTAATGCATTGCACTACTTTAATGCTCTCAGATCTTGCATTTTCGCTGTAAGTTTTGAAATTTTGTTCATTATCTCTGATAACATATTCACTTTTTCTTTCATTTCATCATTGCTAGATCTTTCTCTTATTGTTTTTCTCTTGCTTTCTGATAGTGACAGCGATTCCTCCGGCTATATTTATATATGTTTACTTGTTTACATAGTACGTCAATCACTTGTACCACATGTTTAAAATAACTAATTTCTCATAACTTACTGATTTCTTGACACGATAGCGTGTCACATTACTGTGCCTCCAATTTTTCATATAACAATATATAGTATATTGTTATGGGTAAAATTGGTACAGGCATGCAATGTGATATTGCGTTATGTCATTCTGTTTTCGTGAGATATGAGGAAATTAAGATGAGAAAACTAGGTGGAAAATAATGAGCAAGAAATTCTAGAATTGTGTAGAAGCATAAACAAAGGGTGCATGTATAAATATATGTGCAATACAATAGCATAAAAGGGGATGATTAGAGTCTTGTACATCATAATTCTACGAAATAAACTATTGTTAAAAGATAAACTCTTACTTGGTGTTTCTATTTTGCCTGTTGTCTAAATGCCGATAACATTCTCACGTGACTATACTAACTAGAGTGTAACTAGGAGAATTGGAAAAAACCTAGTGACTGATAGAGTTCTGTTATAGAAGTATTAGAAGTTAATCAACAAAAGAAAACCAGCCAAATTGGTATATGTCTCAAGGGTTTAACTAAATGATACTTACCTTCTACCAACATTATGCAAAGATAATAGTAACAGACTCACTGATCACGCACGCGACAATATACAGTATAAGGATGCATAGGATATAAATGCGAATGTTATTTATCAATCAAATTGATAATAGTATAATATAATATCATTTAACCTGCAGCTGTGAATTAATCCATATATTGGCTGCAATTTAAGCTGTACCATGAGCTGTAGCTTAGATCATGGCCAATAAAACCCTGGCTTAAGCTTTGGTTACAGCTTTTTGAACCAAGCCAAATTATTCAAGCCAATAACATCCCTACTTTTGAGAAAGCCACATTTAAAGAAACAAGTTTTTCATCTAAAAAAGTCACTATTATAAAAAAATTTGCAGATGTCTTTTCTACTGAACTGTCTAACCAATTGCCATTTAAGCGAAAAATTGACTACACCATTAACTTGATATCTGGAGCTAAGCCATTTTTGAGATCTATCTACTATCTCTCCTATGTGGAAATGAATGAACTGAAAAAACAATTAGTCGAATTAATTATCAAAGAATTTATCAGATCCAGTATTTCCTCTTTGATGCCCCTGTACTATTTGTTTACAAGAAAAAAAGAACATTAAGACTTTGTATTAACTACCAGGCCCTAAACAAGATAATCATCAATAATTGATACCCCATGCTCCATATAGAAGAACTAATAAATCAATTGGCTGGAGTCAAATACTTTAGCAAAATTGATCTGTATTCTGAATATTATCAAATATGTATCAAGAAAGAAGACATCTTCAAAACTATATTTTGAACTAAATATAGTCACTACAAGTTTTTTGTATTGCTCTTGGAACTAACCAATGCCTCTGCCACCTTTATGACATTAATGAATGACATCTTTTAGAAATACCTGAATGACTTTGTTATTATATACTTGAATGATATACTCATATATAGCAAGACAAAAGAAAACCACCTGCGACATCTGCAAACTGTACTAATGACTCTTTGAAAGCATCATCTGTATACTAAGGCCAAGAAATATGAATTAAGGCATTCAAAAGTTGAGTATACAGGACACTACATCTCCGCAAAAAGAATCACAGTGAATTCACAAAAGATTATTATTATCAAATATTGGTCAACACCAACCAATGTAACAGAAATCTGGTCCTTTCTAGAACTAGCTAGCTACTACTGAAAGTTTATACAAGGATTTTTTACCATTGCTAGCCCTCTGACCAATCTTCTGTACAAGGATAAAGAGTTCTTCTGGAGCACTCCAGAATAAAAAGCCTTTGAGAAACTTAAAGAAGTCCTTACTACGGCCCCAATTTTGTTGCTACCCGATCCTACCAAACCTTTCACTGTTACAACAGATGCCTCTGACTTTGTTATCAGAGCTGTGCTGACACAAGGACAAGGACAAGAAAAACAATCAGTTGCCTATGACTCAAGAAAACTCTTCCCAGTAAAATTGAATTATCCTATGTATGAAAAGAAATTTTTGGTAATAGTACATATTATCAGAACCTGGTATATATATTTAAAAGGACAGAAATTCATGATTGTTACTGACCATGCCTCTCTAGAATATATTAAAACCCAAGTTTATCTTTTATAACAACAAGCCAGATGGTTAGAAACACTCCAAGCCAATAATTTTGAAGTTAGGTACTGCTCTAGAAAAACCAATATTGTTACTGATGCACTTTCAAGACAGTCATATCTTGCCACTGTTATCGGTACATGGTGAGTCTGTCGCTAATCCGGACTAGATCGTCGCGTAACGGTAAGTATGTAGGGGCTTGTGTCGCTTGCTAACCAGAGGCACTTGTTGATAAA